ATGTGGGCTACTGGTCAAGGGTGTTACTCACAAAACCTGGGGGACTGCCCAAGGGTCACAAATGTCACACTTTTTGAAAACTTATTTTATTCATATTTAGGTGTTAGATCATGATATTGATGATGGAATTGATGGCATCTAGATAAAGTAATTGATGTGGAACGATTTTTGATTGACATCAGTGCTTTTGATGGCTCTGTCAAGATACATCAATTTCAACCCAATTAGGATGTATACCTTTGCCCTGCATCACAAGCCTACCTAGATGTTTATCCGGGTCTTCGGCCTGAAGAAATGGTGATTTGCCTTTCCATATCTGGTAATAGCTTAGTCATAGCTATCAAACTCATTGAGATATTCACAATTGATTGAATGTCACATTTTCCTGTCACAGCATCCCGTTTGGGCTTGCCCAGTTTTGCGAGTAACACCCTTGACCAGTAGCCCAGGTTTTGCTAGCAAAACTGACTGCCTATCCTGAAGCACCAGAGCGCGTTCACTGTCACCCGTCTCTCCTTCCCGCGTCGATCGAGCCCACTGGCATTCATGGAGGAGCAACGACTGGTTCCGAATGTTGATGGGGCCGTAGTCATGACGCAAACATGGTGCGTCCCGCGATCTGATGCCTGAGGCCGCCACACACTACTAGTAGGGCCGACGTTTTGTTCAGTCACGCTGGAAACTTCTGACAGGTACCGCCCCGCCGCCGCCGCTGCTGTTGAGCACGCGCCCCATGAACCATCCTCCCGTTACCCACCGGTTCCTGCCAATCCACGTCCTTCGGTCAGACTGTCTCGTCCATCGCCAATCACTCACTGGAACCGCTTGTGCTGCTTCTTCCTCCCGCTCCCGCTCGCGAAACACAACCCTTGGGCTCACGTCAACTGACATTAGCGCTGCAAGATGCCACCTGACGTGGCGCTAAGTATGGTTCACGGAGTCCGATCTCCTCGTGTTCGCACTGCGCATCGGCACCAGTGTGTAATTGACAAAGCAATTATATGTGCGCGACACCCTGTATGGAACATCATTCGGTGCGGTGTCTCAAACTGGTTGTGGCGCGCCTTCTAAATTAGAACCACTTCTGGTCCACACCGTCTGTTGTCTTGCGAGCATGAGGATAGCGCGTTCGACGCGCGCTGTGATCATAGTAGATTTTGAGCGCTATGCCGTTTGAATTTTTCGTACGAGCGCGGCAGCGCAGCGCAGGCAGACAGGCGCGGAAGCGACCTGCAGGGTAGTACTACTGAGGCGGAGGAAACGAGTAGTGGCGGCGAAGAGGTGAACCAGTCCGTTGCGCCGCTGGTTGAAGCGTGCCAACAATGAAGCCCTCTCTCCGCTGCAGCACACGACGCGGCCAACAGAAGGGCGGTAGAGGGAGGAACTTGAAGGAAGAAGAGGGGCATCGGCTCGTGATTGGCCACGCGCGCACAGACCATGCCCTTCAAAGTCGTCGCAAGTACTTACAGCAGTTCCTGAATGTAATGAGAATGTCACAAAAAATTTTGCGCGTTTTGGCACGTGTTCCTAAAAAGGAAATCGTCCCATTTTGCCTCTGTCCGTCATCCCGTCATGCAGCAAGACGAGGTGGACGCTGGTCTGAGCCTCCCCGTCGGTGATACGGACCAGGAAATGATCAACAACACTTTCGAAGAGCTCGCAGCAGGTGCGTACCCCGCTGTCTTCAATTTGTCCCATTCACATACTCCCAGGTTCCTTCAATCGCTTCATTCCCTACAGCCATGCACCCTCGCCGCCCCCAAAGACCACGAAACGCACGCATGCTGCAGCAACCACTGGTGGCAGCAACGGAAAGCGCACTGTCCGCAGAAAGCCTGCTCCATTGAAGCCAAAGGTCGCCACATCGTCCAAGCCTACATCCTCGCGGTCTAGCTCGTCAAAGCCCGTGTCATCCAAGTCCAGCAGCGCGCCTAAGCCGACTTCTTCAGCATCTTCCACCATCGAAATTGATGATTCTGAATCCGACCAAGACATCCCTACCAAGGCGAAGCGTAGCCGTCGAGGGAAGAAAGTCCAGAGTGACGCAGAGGTTGGGAGTGACATGGGCTCCGAAGAGGAGGACATAGACGATGAACCTCCCGTCAAGCTTATCGGGTATGCTTATGTCGAGAAGCGGGGAGTTGCTGCTGCTCGTGGTCGGAAGCCTGCTCCACCCGAACACACCAAGCGTGGCCCCTTCCAGTTCACAAACCGCGACTCCTTCGACAATTTCCTCTCCACATTGGCTCTCACTCTTCCCTGCCCCAAGAATCATCTTGTTGTTTCCGCGTTGGAGGCCAAACCGGACCACCCGGGGAACGCCAAGCTTATGCCTATCGCAAATGAACTTGGCTACGAAGTGCTTGTCCAGAAGCTGGTGGCGCTCAAGTCTTACCAACGAATTGCTCATGTCTACATGCCACCTCCCATGAAGCCTGTTGAGGAGCCGCCGGTGCGTTGTCTTCCCCACTTTCTGCGAACGTGTACTAACCCAGAAACAGCACTGGGATACTGGCATTGATGATACCGATGACACCCGCTTCGACTATTCTTCTATTGAGTCCGTGTCTAATGCAACGACATTCCGCGATGAGATGGTGAGGCACCGTATAGAGCCCTTCAAATTCTGGTCACTGACATCTCATCTGTAGACAAGTCTCACTGCTGGCATTGCGCCATACAAAGAGACACTCGTGACAACATATCCGAAGGGCAACTTTCCCCATCTCAGCCTCGATAAGCGCTTCTACTACGACAAAGACGGCGACCGTTATTTTGAGCTTGACAATCCTAAGCTGACCGTGTGGGGCAAGGCTATGGTTTGTGCTTGTGCTCTATTATTCATCTTGCTAATGAATGGTAGCTGGATGGCAAGACCGATCAGCGTCGACCTCCTCTCAATAACCCGTTTTTTGATGACACAAAGAAGTACATCGTGAAGAAGGCTACCATTCCCGTTCCCGTTCCCGCCCTCGCCCCCCGCCCTCGCCCCCGCCTCCGCCCTCGCCCCCCCTCTTGCCCCTCCACCTGCGCCCGCTGCCCCAGCAATGTCCATTGCTGATATGTATGCGATGCAGCTTCTGGCACAGCAGAACAATCGTATGGTGCTGCCGTTTGGTCAGAATCATGATGGGCTTGTGTCGCAGCATGTCCAGAACCCTACCTCCACCCCACACTCACCTGTCAAACGCCACAAAGTCCCTGTCGAGCGTTTTGTCGAAGCCTACGATTTGGAGCCTAAGGATGTCGCACGTTTGGAAGCAATGGACTTTCGGCCAGGAGACCCGCTTCCCAGAGAGCTCCCAAAAGATGGCATAGATGCGGGATTCAAGACGCTGTCGTGGAGACGTGTTTATGCTGCAAATATCAAGTTCCGGGCGGACCTGAAGGCAGGTGTTTTTGATCATGGAGTGTAGGTGGTTCAGTTCTCTGCTCGGTTCTTCTGCCTCTCTTGTCGCTCTTTCTCGTCGCATATTCTTGTTACTTACACACCATTGTACTCATGCTTACACCTCATATCCACACTTGCACTTTTCGGACTGTATCATATTGCTCGCAACTCACACATTGTACTTCGAATCAATTCCAAATGTACCCTGCATGCCTGAACCACTCCGTTGCCTTCTCTGCTGTAATACAAGCCGTTGAGTCAAGCAATGCAGCCACAGGATCCTCTGCCTGCCCAATTGCATGTCCATTAGCCCGCAGATGGGCCTTCCAGCATGAGAAAGACTCCTCAATGGGGTTGAAATCGGGAGAGTATGGGGGGAGGAAGAGCATCATGATTCCTTTGTTGTCATGAGCGCTGAGCGTAGGCACCATGTCAATGCAGTGTAACACACCTAGATCATCAAGGATCTCCTTCAGAGTGTCGGTGTGGTGTATACGGCAGTTGTCAAGGATGAGTACGCTCTGTGTATCAGGATATGAGTTCATTTGCGGAATCTGAGGAAATGTCAGCAGTAGGTAAATGGTCACTGTAGCCACGCACTACATCCTCAATAATGAAGTCAAAAAACTGGGATGCATTCATTGAGCCCTCCACGATCTGCATTGCAATGTACCCATTCTTTGACATTGCTGCTGTCAACGTATAACGCTGGCCACGAACGAAGGGTGCGGCTAACTGTGCTCGTGTCCCTGCAGCAGAGCGGCCATGGGTACGAGTGAGAGTGCGCTCATCCTTGCTTGACTCATCAATAGCGACAAACTCGAGCCCGGTGCCCGAAAAAAGCTCTGGGTCCTGAATAAGCTCAATATGGTCGGACCGCCGTGTCTCGTCACGTTCCGCCGCAAGCCTCTGGAGAACCTTGCGTGTCAGCCCTGCACGCTCAAGTGTAGCCTGGAGGGCAGAGATGGAGATAGGAAGGTCATGGTAGATAGCAAGGAAAAACTGGAGCTCGCGCAGCATGACAGTTGCATCTTTTTTGAAGACCTCTTTGACGGCAGTCAAGACAGCAAGGCAGACAATGCGGGGGCGACCGATGAATGGGGAACGGGGCTTGCAGGGTGTTCCAAACTCCGCAAATATGCTCCGCCAGCGATACAGGCTGCTCGGGGACACGCACAACACAAAACAGATGTCCTCTTTTGCCCAACCAGCCTGCCAGAGGCGGAGAGCACACCGCTTGAGGTCTTCACTGATCCGGCGGTTGCCCATTGGAGGTATTAGGCTACCAGGACAGTCTACAGAGACGTGGAGATGAGCGCCGGAGTCAAAATGGGACGATTTCCTTTTTAGGAACACGTGCCAAAACGCGCAAAATTTTTTGTGACATTCTCATTACATTCAGGAACTGCTGTAAGGTTTCATCCCGCCGCAAGATAGTAGCCGGCTGCGCTAGCTACTGGTGGTCGTCTTGATGGAAAACGAGCAGGCGCGTTAACTGGCGGCGAACGCGCACATTAGAGGCATACTAGTAGGCGTTCTCAGGCGAGAGCTAAAGTCTGAGCAGGAGGGCATTCGGGATGTGCGTGCTGGCTGCGCAGTGCACGAGAGGTCATGGTCCACAGGCTCGTGTTTGTTGAGAATGCCAGCGTGAAGCGACACCGAGCACGCACCTTTCTCCACTACACCACACCACCCCGCAGAGTACTCTGCCATCCCCAGCGCCAGCAATCTCAACCTTCCTCCAAGTTCCGCGGTCGCGGCACTGGCTTCTGGTGGGATACCGAGTGGAAGCTGGCGTCGCACCTTCAAGTTGGTCCAAGTCAGAGCCAGGAATCCGTGACGCGGATATGTGCGGGACAACGCACCAGTGACGAGAAGAGCCCGTGCTGAAGGAAACAGGGCACCTCATCGCGTCGAGGGCGCCCAACGGAGCATACCCAGCGCTCACGCGCTCGTCGTCGTGGAGCGGAAGAACCGGTGATATCCATCTGTCACGGTGTTACGCCGAGCCGAGAGCCGATCAACGCTCACACGCTCTCTCAGCGCCTCCACGACGACGCGTTGCACTGGCCCGCATCCAGCGCGGTACTGGACGGATGCGCAAGCGGACTGGCGTGGGCCTTTGGTAAGCCTATGGCAGTGTTTTCAGCTGCGAGCCAGGCTGATTCGACGCGGGGCTGTTGTGAGGTGCGTAGTGCGCCCTTTTCGTGTGTAAGGTCGACTCATTTGCGCTGCAGTGAACGATGAAAGTGCCATCCGAGTCCAAAACAGGCCCGCCGGCGTCTTACAATGCGGTGGCCATGTTATAAGACGCGTGGCCAACGGTGGCCTCGGGCCCGGCGCCCCGCACCGGTCACGCCTTCTACGAGTCATGGCACATGGAAGAGCAACAGCGGTCCTCGACTGCAGCTGCTGCCCGCTGCGCCTTTTCCACTCATGTACAGCAGGTGCGAACGCGCTGCGGACCCATCAGCCAAGCCAGCATTCCCTGCCTTGAGGAGCTGGCCGCAACAGACACGGTCTCCCATTGAAACCCATTCTCGTGCGGTTCTTTTCATCCAGCAGTCATTCGACCTATTTATATGCAATGCCAATCAACACAGCCTGTGACAGCCTCCCTCCCTTCTTTCCGCTTGCCGTCATGACCTCCCCTCTCGACAAGCTTCCCATCGAGCTGGTGGATGCCATCGTCGAGTTCCTCCCTGCGAAGGCACTCAAGTCCCTCGCGCTCGCATCTGCGCTCTTCCGCCATCCGTGCCAGCGTTGTCTCTTCTGCAATGTCGCTATACGTCGACCGTTGCTGGACGTTATCCCCCAGACTGGGCCCCAGCCGCCTTCCCTGTCTGACTTCCCCACCTCTCCGCGTCTCCTCGCGAACATCGCATCCCTGACCGTGGCCTTTGCACGCGCTCATGGCTGGCCGGACGAGCCCGCCTTCAGCACCGCCTTATCGGCGATTGCCGCGCATGGCAATGTGCGGCGGCTAGCGGTGATGGGCACGGGACCGTGGGCATGGCTCGCTCCCGACACACGCGCGGCATTGCTAGCAATACTGAACGATGTCCAGTTGAGAACACTCAAGATGCACGACGTCCTCGCATTTCCGGCGGCGGAGATGTACCACTTGCTGTCGCGCGGCGTGGAAAAGACGCTCGTTCTGAGTGGCTGCACATACCGCCTTCACGAGGCTACCGGCTTGGACATGGGCGTAGCGCGTGTGCAGAGCTTGGTGCTTCGCAGTAACCTGGATGAGGCTTACGCGATGCTGGCCTCCACAGAAGCGCCTAGTCTCCAGAATATCACCAAGCTCAGCCTTCGACACGCGGATGTTGACCTGCGGCACAACACCCTCTTCAACTCGACGAGCATTGCTCACGGGCTCGTAGAGCTGACGCTCATCTGCTGTGCGTTCATGGTTGTTTGTTTCGGCATGCTAACATCAATTTGGCGATAGACACGTTGGATGCGCCAGGCGTCGTGCTCCCCGCCGCCCCGCGGCTGCAGCGCCTCGAAGTCCGCACCCATATGTCCTGGATCCTCCCGTACGGCGTGGCCCCGACCCTTGCGGCGCTCCCCAGCTCGCTGCAGCGTTGCGTGTTTGTGTTCACGCTCGCGATCTCCAACCCGCACCGCTTTTACCCCTCAGCGGAGCAGTATGCCCTCTTTGCAGCAGACGACAGCCGCGGCCCGCCATCGGCCGTGGCGGTAGAGCTCGTTGCGCGTGTCGTAAACGGACATGCTGGGGTTGAGCTGGATGTGGCGGATGAGGAGATGGTATGGGAGGAGTTCCAGGACGTTGTGCGAAGGGGATTCGAGGGAAGCAAGGCGCCTGTCGTGCGGAGGACCGTTGCGGAGTTGGATGGCTTCGAGGACGACTAGGTAATCGGTAAGGTCCAGCGCGGCGCAAAACTGGACGGAGTCGAAAGCGCCGCGCAGTGTTGCCAGGCTTATGCGCCAGGGAGCGAGCACATGTGCTTCCTCCTCTCCATATCTCCCTGCCTGCCTTATTGTCCCCCGTGCCCATCTTGGCTGAGTTCGCTCCGCGCAATCAGAGCCATACGCGCGTATGCAGCGTGTCGTTCAGGCACTAGGCGCAGCTAGGGCTCTAATACTACCGATCTCGTCATTCCAACACGTTCAGAAGAAGCGCAAGATAGCGCACCTGACATCCTTCCAACAGCTGGTCTTCTTCAGCCGCGGTGACCATTCCATCTAGGTACTAATCAAACACGTGAGCAAACAGGCCCTGGAGCCTATGACGTCTTACCTTGGGCACGGCCACACGTTCTCCCCGCCCCCGTAGACCCCAGGACGTTGCGCAAGCGGTGGAGGCTCTGGGCACATGGGCGTCGGGACGAAGAAGCGGATGAGGTGGCACGTGCGGCACCGCCTGGTCCGTGCGCGCCATGTCAATCACGCGCCAAGCCTTGCTTCCTTTTCCCCCACTCCCGGAGCGCGTCCTTGTGCTTGCGCGGCTCTGCAGCGGGCGCGCTTACTAGTTCTTGGCGCCGACGACTTGGAATGCTGGCGCGCTGCGTCAGGCGCCGACCCTCACGCATGCAAGCTTGGTGTCTATTCCGTAATACTCACTCTGCTTCAGTGGCTGTGCAGGTCTGGGTCCGAGTCACTCTCCGGACACCCGTGGGTTGACCCGTGCTCATCCCTACGAGTCGGCGCTATTGAAGTCTCATGTAGCGTCAATGCGGACGAATGGGGAGCAGCTGCAGTTAAGCAACTTGAAGTTTGTTGTCAGCCACCACCGCTGGGAACCGTCCCAGATGCGCACTGGGCTACACAGTGGAGTGTAATAGTGAAGATGGTGCGTTCGACGCGCGCCCTGGTTGTGAATGCTTGTTGAATGGTGCTATATTGCTTTTTCCTATAGGGCTACTAGGAGAGAGTTGTGCCAGTAGAAGAGGCCTCAGCACCACGTAGGACCACTCAGCCCATTTGCGCACGCTCGTGAGTCCCATCCCGGTTAGCACATCATCAACGGCGATGGCACTGGGAAAATCAAGTCAGGTGGCGCCCTGGCCGAATGGTGAGACTTTCAGGCTGAGCCGCCAAGAATTCTCACCGCTCTCGTGTACAAGGCCGTCAGCAGCACGCGCGGCCTACACAGCCTGCCGCAGGTCGCCGAGACGCATCGGCAAAGCTGTCTTCAGTTGCGGGGGCTATCCCGGATGTGTTCGGCGCACTCCCGTAACCTCTTCCGGCCGAAACGGCCAGGAGAGGGAGCGGGAGCGTGCAGCTCCAATCCATGAGAGTTTCAACATCAGGAAAAACCTCCTGGAGAAATCTTATGAAATTTCTGGAATTTTCAATGGGCTTTAAAAATCTAGAGAAATTTTACTGGATTCCACAAAATTTCTGGAAATTTCCAATGATTTCTGTAGCATATCAAATCAATAGTCAAATGAACACAAGACCAGGACGGAATATCATGCATAAGAAGGGTGAATGTTTATCTCTACAAGGTCTTATGCCTAGGGTTGCTATTTCAATTCTACACTTCAAAGTAACATTCAGATGGTTTCCAAGTCCGCCATAAAAGACCGGCCCTAAACGTATCATGTTGTTATGTCGTTGACAGATCTTTGATAGATTTGTTACATGTGTGTGACATCAAAAAAAAAAAATCGTACCACTCTTTCCTTTCCCCGCTCATGTTCCCTTTCCCTCTTCTTGAGCCTTTGCTCAGCGCCTTATCCCCCTCTCCAGCGCCCGGCAGCGCGCCGTGCAAGAGGCTGTGTGTTATCGTTGTTCCCATGTCCACGCGCCGTCAGCTCTGACATTGCGCCCTGAAGTCGGCCACCAAGCTACGAACAGCCTCAGAGTGGGCACCCTAACCTGGTACGCCCACTACTCTCCTCTCTGTGTCCTTCCGCTGACGGTTGCCCTAGCTATAACAGTCCTGCGACTGCCTATAGCTAGAGCGAGAGCAGATTATTGCCGCTGCCGCTGCTGGTGCCGCTGCCGCCCAGAACTACGCCGAGCAGGCCGTGGAATACATCCAGACCACTACCGCTATCTCGACCTCGAGTGGTGCAGCGAGTTCACGCACCCGCGCCACACCGTCATCTGGCACAACTTCCAGCGTACCGCCAGCCGCTTCGGCACATACACGGTGTGTCGCTGTCCTCTGCAGAGAAAGGCATCGCTGACCACCTACTAGTACGACTGCTCGCTCAAGATGCCGACCTTTGGGGATGTCGACCTGCAAAGGTTCCGCGAGGTTACGCTCTGCGCGGCCTTCTGGTTCGCGCCGCCCGCGGGCGCCAGATTGCAGGGCGGCGCACTCGTGTACTTGGCCTCACTGCTCACCGACATTGCCGGCACACAGTCGAGCGTCAACGGCCTCAGGGAGGTCCGGAACCTTGCGTGCGACGACCCGAACTCCATTCGAGGGCCATGTGTCGCGTGACTGCACTCTTCGAGGATGCCCGAATATAGGCAGCAGGAACAATTGGGCCATCCCCTATGGTATGTCGCTTCACACCGTTGTCTCGCGTTTGTGCTGACACCGGACAACAGGGCCTGGAAACCTGTGTGGGCATAGGGTGTGGTTGCTGGGATTTGATGACGCCGCAGGACTGTGTTGTAGACATAAAGTCGACCTCTTGTATTGTCGATAGGTCTTGAATATAATAGTGATATTGCTCTAATATGATTGCTCTAATATGATTGAAAGCCATGAAACAGCAGTAAAATGCCTGGAAATTTATGGGAAATTTAGGGGAAATTTACTCTAATTTCTCGAAATTTCTGGGGGACTAAAGGAATCCCAGAAATTCTGGAAATCAGAGAAATCAGTCAAAATTCAAGGTGATTTCGGGAAATTTCCTGAAATCTCATCAAATTTCTGGGGGAGGTTTTTCCTGATGAAGCCAAACGGGCAACGAACACTGCCTGTCGACAAGGCCCGGGGCCACTGGGCTGAATTCTGGCGCGTTCCGCCTATAATTCCTAGGGATACGAGGAGCAGCGTGTCTCTCTTTGCGTATAGATCTCGGGCAGAAGGACCGAGCGGCTGGGTCAGCGCGGACCTTCCTCCGTCTTTTCCAGCGTGTCGGCCCGCCTCCCGCACGTTTGGCCGGGGTCCCGACGGTGCCTCGTCATTCTCCGAGGGCAGGAGCGCACCTTCCGGTGTTCGCGATATGGGGGGAAAGGACAGGGTGTGCCTGCGTAAGTTTTTCGCGCAGGCGTTGACATCAATCTCTGACATCAGCACTCTTCTTTTCGTCTTCCCACCACTCGCCTGAAGCTGAAGGTCGACAACAGTCGTGCTGGACGGGTGCACGCGTGCGGGAGCAGAAGCTTGGGAGGGAGGGAGCCGCATTTTTGGAGCTAGGACATGGTGTGCTCCCGCGATCTTGCTCCCGCGAATGGACCTGCTGACGCATTTTTCTTCTGGACATTGTTTGCGCACGCCTGAAGCTTCCGCCCGGTAGATAAATCCTACAAGGATTCACTGCAGGAGTTCGGGAATAAACGGTGCCCCTTTCAATCCATTATACACCTAAAATCAGTGTACCAAAAAAAGAAAAGTTTTTATACCTCTATTTGCACCCAAAAGAAATTGTTCCAAATTTGCCTGCTTATATGAGAAATAGATGCTATAAACAGACTCAGTTTTGTCCCCCGGTTTGGGGGCAGATTAAACACCCTTTTCTAGACCAGCTTTTGCATCAAAATAGGGACCTAAAAATATGGTCCAGGGCCCTGATATATATCATATAAGTGAATATATGTGAATATTTTTGGTTCATGTTTTGATACAAAAACTGGTCTAGAAAAGGCTGTTTGATCTGCCCCAAAACCAGTTGACAAAACTGAGTCCGTTTATAGTATCTATTTCTCATATAAGCAGGCATATTTGGAACAATTTCTTTTGGGTACGAATAGAGGTATAAAAAAATTCTTTTTTTGATGCATTGATTTTAGGTGTATAATGGATCGAAAGGGGCACTGTTTATTCCCAAACTCCCGCAGGGATTGTTAAGCCAACGGGCATGATGATGGTAAATCACGTTTAACCTGTTCAAGTTAAACAGTGTTAAACGGAATGAGAAACAGCCCAAGTGGGACCACAAAAATGACACCACTGGGAGTTGAACCCAGGATTGCCAACACACACATGCCAGGGACCACAAGTCCAAGAGGGCATAAGAATGTGCCCCATCTATCAGCTGACTGCATAGGATGTTTAATGACTTTAAATCGAACTACATAGCATTTTTTGTCCTTTAACCACAAATAAAACTAATTAACAAGCACTTTGCTGTCTTACTGCTTGTTTATCATGCTTGCTACAACTGATAACTACCTATTTACTGCTGTAGTAAAAAGGTCATCCTCTTTTGCTCTCTTGGCTTGGACCCATTGAACCAAATTAGCATTGTCCTAAAGCAAATCATCATGTCCAGCCTTTTTGATATACACCTCTGTATCCTGGGCCATCCGTTGGTACATAGCAGCTTTCTGTTTTGCATATGCACAGTGTCCAGGATATGTCACAGACTTGGCTAATTGCATCCAAGTGTCCTCCATTTTCAAAAAGCTCCGGCGGACACGAAGAAGTTCTGCTATTTTTTGTTCAACTTGTTCCCTCCACCGAAGCATTTCTGCCTCAGCTCTAAAGCATTGAACACGATCTCCTATATAAATATTTAAGTATTTCTTATCCAAAAACGAATAATTGAATAGATACCTTCCTGTGACCATTCTTCAAGTTCAGTGTCTGACATTTTTGTTAATTTCCCCAACTGCCAGATCCATCCATTGGGACATTCATCTTTTGAGGTTAAGCTCTTTTTTCCAGTTTCTCCCTCATCATTGGCTGTTGTATGGTGCTTCCCGCATCACGGTCCACATTAGCT